ATGTTACTTGTATGTATGTTTTTAGTGCCAACTGTTTGATATTAGACAACCAATTGGTATATTCTTTCCTGGAGAAGACTTTTCTATAGCTCTCAGAAACTCTGTCTCCAGAAGCCAGTGTGTGTGTGTGTGTGTGTGTGTGTGTGTGTGTGTGTGTGTGTGTGTGTGTGTAAATGAGATTTCATGATCTTTCTCCTGTCTATTTTTGTTGTGAAATATTAGAATGAACATGTGTTACATTCACTTATGCTGTGGAACGTTTGTTTAATGATTTAAAGATGTGTTGCATTATTTTATGTTGCATTTGTTTAATTCTGTGAAGCTGTGTTACTTTGCCTCTCTAAAACACCTGATGGTCTAATAAAGAACTGAACAGCCAATAGCAAGGCAGAAGAAAGAATAGGAGGGGCTTCCAGGCAGAGAGAATAAAATAGAAGAAATCTAGGAAGAGAAGATTGAGGAGGACATCAGGGCCAGCCACCTAGCTACATAGCAAGCCACAGAGTAAGAAGTAAAGAAAGGTATATAGAATAGAGAAAGATAAAAGTCCAGAGGCAAAAGGTAGATAGGATAATTATGTTAAGAAAAACTGGCTAGAATCAAACCAAGCTAAGGCTGGGCATTCATAAGAAAGAATAAGTCTCCATGTATGTAATTAATTGAGAGCTGGGTGGTGGGCCCCCCAAAGAGTAAAAGTAAAAAAAAAAAAAACACCAACATATTTTGGCATGTCTATTGTTGTTGTCTTTGTTCATCTCGTGTTTAGGTAGTCATGTTAGTAAGACTTCGTGTGTGTAGCTTCTGACATTACTAAGAGACAGTCTTGATATTTTAGGATTTATAATGCATTGCTCTAGGATCATCTGGCTTTCAAAGTTTTCTTAGATAAACAATTTAAGCTTTTACGTCTCTCATCCTTACATGTTGCACCTCTTTTGTGAGTTTCTTTTCTGAATTTGGTAACAAAGAAAACTATAACTGTCTAGTCTTCAACCCCATCAAAGACCCAAGAAGGATATAATATTACCTGAGTAAACAGGAAGTGCAGAGCAAGAAACTTCTAAAACTATAGAAATGACAGAGATATTTGGTTGCCTAGACAGTCACCCAAGGTTCGTCTGCAATGTTGGGTCATCCATCTTTGGCCTACAGGCCTAGAATATCTGACAGACTTTTCTGTGAAGCAGGAATTTCAAAGGACTGTCCTACCTTGCCTTGGCAAAGGTCAACAGTCACCTTCTTTTTTGTCCTGCTTGTCCAATTTGGACAGCATACTGTCAGCAGTTGAGGCAAGGTCAGTTTTTTTTTTTCCCCAGGGGCTAGCTTTGTCACAATGAAAGCAGACTCCATATGGAGGTTCTTTGATGCCCATCATCCTTTTTGAAGTAAATTGGTACTACCAGGAGCAGAAGTGTCTCACTATCATGAAAAGCTTTATGTTATTGAAACATCTTAAATGCTATAATTTGTAGGTCTCTGAAGTGTTTGAGGACCATCTATCTAAAATATTATCTGTGTTTAACCTTGAAAACATACCTAACATGACTACAAGTTTGATTATTATAGATGACTATTAACCTGAATTTCTTAATTATACATTACATTTTAAATGAGCTGCATTAGTACAATGCCTTAAATAAGAGTAGAAACATATATACAGTATGTTAAAACAAAAATAACCTTAAATTTGTATCAATATACAAAAATGCACATCAATGTAAAATATTTAAGACTAGCAGTTGCTTTTTAGTTTAAAAGTAGATTCAGCAATCTACCCTTTTTCCTGTCATTTCTATACAATATCCCCTTTTTTCTTTTCAGAATGACATCCCTGAAGCTAATCTCCTTTGCTTAGTTTTCCTCCCTAACTATGACCAATAACAACTTGCAACCCCCTGCCCCAAACAATGACAAACATCCATAATCCACTGAATGACCAAAAACCACCCACCCCAACTCTTGGGAATGTGGCATCATTGTTTTCTAGACTGCTTCTTGTTGTCTGGGGATGACAGCATCTTTAGGGAACCCTGAAAAAACTGGGACCATGGTCAAGTCCTGGGAGAGCTGTTATTTTTTGTTTAGTCTCTGTGTGATGATAAAGTGTAGAACTTATCTGAAGTCTTAGCTGGATAGTTTGTGAGGATCATCTCAGCTAGCAGCTTTGAAGTTGCTCTGGATGCAGAATTTTGAGGAAACTGCAACAGAGGCATTCTGAGAGGCTGGATCACCTGGGCTATTTGTTTTTATTGATGTCTTGTCCTTTTTTTGAAAATGAACAATCTTTTAAAGGTAACATAAATATCTGTATTAACACAAGTATGGAGTATGGTATGCACAAGTCAGCTAAAGGTGATTTTTTTCTTCTATGTTTGAGCAGGTAAAAAGCTTCTGTTAACTTTATAAGTCCTTTTGGACTGTATAACCAAACCTCTATCCATGCCATATAAAAGGAAAGCATGTAATAATAAGTCATGAGGATTCTGTAGCCAACAAGATTTATCATATCATATCTCATCCAATCTCACAGCTGTTCCCATGTTGAGGGATCAGCATTTATGTCACCTGTCCTATAGTCTTTCTTGGCTTTTTTCCTTTATGTCTGTAGCCAAGATTTTCAGGTCTCCCCCAATCAAATCTGATTTTCATTAATTTTGAAGGAATCCTTAGCTTTTCATTTCCTGTGGAAACAAAAGCATAACCTCTTCCAACGCAACACATTTTTCTGACCTTCAGTCTTAAGTTAAGACATTCTTAAAATATATAGATTGGTTTAATTTAGCATTTTCCATAATTCAGTGTCTCTCAGCAGCTAT